GGAGCGCTCATCACCGAAAACATTTCAGCTTTCCTCAGATAAAGATCCCTTGCAGATTTAAACATAAGGTTCTGACATTTCACAAATGGATGCAAGAATGTCAACATTACCAAGATATCCTTCTATAATTACAACGACTGTCATGACTAGGGGGAAAATGCTTTCAAAGAATCACATTTTAAAATTCCAAATATTTTTCCCCTAGGTAGAAGGATGACCTCTAAAGGGTTCCATTGATTAATCCCCTCCAGAGTTTATGAATCTTTCATATTTTCTTAATTTGGCATGAGAATAGTGGCAGTTGTTTTAGCTTGAGAATTTTCCTTAAGGTCAAGTCTGTTGTGCTTGAAATTTATATTACGTTGCTGTTGTTATAATCAATTCATCCCGTATTATTATTTTATTTCTCTAGTTAAGGATTGGAGCCAGATACCAACCAATAAATCAAATGTTAGGCATATCTGAATTGCACGTGTCCTATAAAACTCTTCAGTTGCATTCTAATTGTGTAGTTGTCTTTAACAGCATGATTTTTAACTGAATTAGCTTCTGCAAGTTTGTAATCCCCCCCATTGTTTTATTTAATTGAATGATATCAACAATAAAACAATATATAAGAGATCCTTGGAAAAATAAGCCCATTGATTGCAATTATTAGAAGATTAAATAAATTTGGGTTCACACATGCTTCCAGTCTTTCACCTTTCTTAAATTATTTACGAAGTTTAAAAAAATAATATTAAATATGATAATTGCAATTGTAAAAAGTAATACAAACTGAAAGAAAGAACAGAATAGCAATAGTAAAGAAAAAAGTGCAGAAGAAAAGAAAAAAAGAGGAAAATTAAGAATATAATGAAGAAAAAGAAATATGTAAAGAAGTGTCTTCCAAAATTTGTGGTAACAAGTATAAACATTTTAGTAACTTTTTATCACCTCTTAATTTACAACCAAATGATTTAATTATTCTATGTCCCATCTCTTATCTATAAAGAAATCCATAAATATTGTCATTTCAGTTCTGATGTTAACAATAATCTATTAAGAATTACCAGAAAATAACAACTTATCTATTTAAACCTTTATCAAATAAACTAACTTTATATTCCTTCCTTTGACTTCTATCTTATTTTTAGTCATTGTAATGTCATAAAGCTCAATTTTTCTTTATTTCTTTTTTATTCATTTTCATAAGATTCATCCAAGCTTTAACAAATCTCTTTTGTAAATCCAATAAAAAACAATTACCCAGGTCATTCTGTTGGTTTATTAATTGTAATTCCTTTTTGATTTTTAAAGCATCAACCAATTTATTTTGTATGTCCAATTAACCATCTTTCCCCATGTCATTCTTGTACCCCATTCTTATTTCTAGATCCACTTTTGATGCCAACTCAGTATGTCAAATAAAACTTCTGCCATTTTTCTTAATGTTGTTTGGACACAATACATCCACAATCACTATTGACATTGTTGATATTAATTTCTGATTCCACTTTTCAAAAGTACCCTGCATTATTTCCAATTGTTACAATATAACATTTCCAAAATGTTATAATATTTTGTGTCAATCTGTAGTTCTTAATTAGGTTTATGTATTCTTCTCCTTTAATTAAAAACTTTAGTTCCCTCTAGTGTCCAATTATTGAAATTGTTATCCCTTATAGGTTTAAAACAGATCAAGTTTCTCAGACAAAGGGTTCTTTATAATTAATTCTTTATAACTTACCCATTTAAACTTTTCAAAATCAAAATTTTAATTATCTTTCTGCTGTTTAATTCATTTTTGTAATTAAAGTTTTCTTTCATTAAGGATTGAAGGCAGACTAATCCAGTCCAGTGTTTTTAGACTTGTTGATTCAAAAATCTCTAAGAGCTGAAAAGTTAATAGGCAATTTCCTAATATAATTAGAAGAGGAAGTGTGCAAACCTAGTTTTCTTTTAAAGGTGCTAAGCACAAGATGAGCTATTCCCTTGCAAGATGAACAAGATGGCTATTCCCTTGTCTTCCATTGCTCAAAACCTGCTAGAGATTGCTGTCTTGAAGTCTGCTCAAGAGAAGCAATTGTCTCTGGACCACTTTTGCAAAATCTTCATCCTCTCTTTGTCCAAAGATGTTTGAAGAGCAGAGATGGCCTTCAGTCCAACTTTTCTTTCTCCTGTGTTTTATTCAGTATTTTATCCAGAATATTAAATAGGCAGCCTATTAAATTTTATCAGTGCTCTAATTATTTTTTCTTTTATATTTAATATATAAAATATTATATTTAAATTTTACTTTTTTTCTGGAATATATTTTGGCTTGGCACATTTTATTTTCTGACATCGGCTTAATTGCTTCTTCTGGGATCAATACGGATTTGGTGACTGAGGGACAGTGATAATTAATTGTATATATACTTCTTAAACTTCCCAAACAAACTGATGTCATGATTCATGAAAAACCTAAGACATTTTTATCTTCAGATTACCAGAGTTGGAAGGAACCTTATAGGTCATCTAGTCCAACCCCCCACTCAAGCAGGAAACCCTACACCATTTCTGACAAATGGCAGTCCAATCTTTTCTTGAAAGTCTCAAGTGATGAAGCTCCCACCACTTCCAAAGGCAAGCTGTTCCATTGGTTGATTGCTCTCACTGTCAGAAAGTTCCTCCTCATTTCTAGGTGGAACCCCTCCTTGGTCGGTTTCCATCCATTATTCCTTGTCTGGCCTTCAGATGCTTTGGAAAATAGCTTGACTCCCTCCTCTCTGTGGCAGCCCCTCAAATATTGGAACACTGCTATCATGTCTCCTCTGGTCCTTCTCTTCACTAGACTAGCCATGCCCAGTTCATGTAAGCGTTCTTCATATGTTTTAGTCTCCAGTCCCCTAATCATCCCGGTTGCTCTCTTCTGCACTGCCATCAGGAATAGGCAGCCCTCACTGAACAGGTTTTCTATTACTTCTGTAGTATTTACTCAGAAGTAGAATGTAGCCCCTTCTACTGTGGAACTAGTAGGTATGATAATAAGTATGACAATCCATTTTGAACCATTTATATTGCTAGTGCTGTGTTATTATGGAACAGGTTTTTATTCTGAGGTAGTCATATTGCTTTCAAGTGCTTATTAATATAAAGCAAGGCTTTGGATGGTTTACTTTCCTTCTCCTAAAAGCAAGACCACTTATATTTTCTTTGGATGAACTACTGTGTTTATGGTTTAAGGCAGAGGTGGGTTGCAGCAGCTTCTGACCAGTTCTGGAGAACCAATAGTGGAAATTTTGAGTAGTTCGGAGAACTGGTAGTAAAAATTCTGACTGGCCCCACCTTCATCTATTCTCTGCCTCCCAAGTTCCAGCTGATTGGGAGGAGATGGGGATTTTGCAGTATCCTTCCCCTGGAGTGGGGTGGGAATGGAGATTTATTCCCCTGCCACGCCTACCAAGCCATGTCCACCAAGCCATGTCACGACTACCAAGCCACACCCACAGAACCAATAGTAAAAAAAATTTGAAACCCACCACTGGTTTAAGAAGTTTTGAATAACTGTTTATTTATTTTTATTCAGTGATACTCATAATACTCAAAAAAAAAAAAAAGTCTGAGAACCTACCAATTTTTAAAAAATAATCTATTTTAATGATGATTAAAGATTAAGAGGTCAAAGGGGTATCCATTGTGCTAGATATCCATTGTTCTTATCTATCTGTGCTGGAGACTGTTCAGAATAGATATTCAACTTTCTTACAGAGAAAATAAACCGGATAGGATATTGAATATGGCTGTCTGTTTTAGCTGTCATTTAATGCTTGAAGCTGCAACATGACTTATAAAAAATACATTTCTTTGATGCAGCATCTTGATTAGTATATTCAGTGCTAAAAAATGTAAGACCATCACAAGTTGCAAAATTAAGACCTGAGTATGAACAATAATAACAGAGTTAAGGTGGTGTTACTACATTAGTGACTTGATAATCTAAAGGTTATTCTGAGCGGCTCTTTTGTCCAGATCAAATAGGTGTATGCATATCTAAAGAGAAAGATTTGGCTTCAGTGATTCCTATAGGCTAAACTACTCCAATGTTTTGTTTATGGAATGGTCCCTGAAGATACTCCGGAAACTGCAACTGCCCCAAAGTGCTTAAAAACAGGTCCCTGTATCTGCTTCTCTGCTTGCTGATAGCTCTCTAAGTCAAATGAGGATGGTGTCCAATAAAGTTGATCTGGTTTTCCAAGCTATTTAGAGGACATGAATTCCCTCTTAAATTCGTGGCTCATCAGTCAGCTATTTTTTTTTTACAGGTACTTTCCACAGGTACATTTGTTATCAACAATCCATCCCTTTTTTCCCCCCCAATGTGAAGCATATCATGGAACAAATTTCTATAAGAATCAAAGCAGGCACTGTCATCCCATCGCCTCCAGAACAGAGGTCCCCAACCCCCAGTCTGTGGATGGGTACCGGTCCGCGGAATGCCAGGAACCGGATCACACAAAAAAGTGAAGCCCCATCCACGGAATGCAAGCAGTGCACAAAAAAACTCTCTTCAAGGAACTGGTCCCTGGTTCTCAAAAGGTTGGGGGCCACTGGTTTAGAAGGGGTTCATAAGTTATAGTTATTTCCCTAGAACCTAATAACAAGAAAGGGCACATGAATCTAGATTTGTCTGTCTTTGGGGAGGCAATATTTCAGGGATAAAAATCTATATTTCCTGTCACATATTAGCCCAGATTTGGATACTAATGATGAGTTTAACAGAATTATGTACAATATTTACAGTAACAGAGTTGGAAGATACCTTGGAGGTCATCTAGTCCACCCCCCTGCTCACACAGGAGATCTATACTAAGGATTCGAACTGCCGAACTGCCGACCTTTCTGATTGACAAGCTCAGCGTCTTAGCCACCTAGCCAGGCCCTTCCAGTTCTCAACAGTTGATAAATGTGAATTCAGTCCTTCAGCTCTTTTAAATTTCCTTCTTTCTTTTTTTTTTTCATTTCTGTTGTTAATTTAGATGCTGCACAACAAACACGTAATGGTTCGTGTAGGAGGAGGATGGGAGACATTTGCAGGATACTTGCTGAAGCACGACCCCTGCCGAATGTTGCAAATATCTCGGGTGGACGGCAAAACCTCCCCCATCCAGAACAAGTCTCCAACCATCAAGGACCTGACTCCAGACAGCTACCTGGTGGTTTCTGCTCATTACAAAACCAAAAAAGAGATTAAGTGAAATTGCCTTCTCATTTCTTTGGGGGACTTGGTATATGTAGACCCACGCTATTCTTCATGTGTAGTCAAATTAGTTGATGCTTTGAAAGGACTTCTGGACTTAACATGCAGACTGGAAATGGCAACCCATTTCATGGATTGTTGAATGGTAGAACTATTTATTTCTAGTACTGTACCTTTTCATAGCAAGTTACTCTTGGTAGGTTAATTACGAAAACCAGATTTTTTTAAGACAGACATATTTTTAGCCTAATTATTACTCTATGAATGTACTCGTAGGATGATTAAAACAATATGGATCGTGTTAAAAAAATGAAATGGGACAAATTTGATTGAAAAAGCAGTAGGTATGATTCCCAATAATTTGCCGCAGCAAAGGATTATATTCAATTTAGTGGGGAAAAAAGCACAGGTGGGGAAGAATAATGTAATGGGAAAAACATCTGCCTTAGGCTCTGGAGAGCTAATATCATAATAGACAATGCCAGACAAATATATATTTTGTTCAAAGAAAAACAGCTCTTTGTTTGTGATTATATCACGTACAGCTCCAATGATTGTTGTTTGTAAATGATTATTCATGGGTTAACATTTAAACATGTGAACAGCCCATTTAATTTCCTCAACAAATCAAGGCTGATCACTACAGATTATCTGTATGAATCAAATTGGTGAGTTTATTCCGTGCTTCCAGGCTGATTCCTATATGGAAAGAAGCTAATCTATACACATATTCTTTTAAATGAATGGGACGTTGGGAAAATATATACTTGCATCAGGCAGACTCATATTCATAAGTAATTGCTGGGCCAATATGATAGCCCATCTACAAAATGAAATTAAAAAGAAATAATAGAAATCCTCTGTAAATGGGTGGCAAATGCTTGTTTTGTTTATTCATATTAGAAAGTAGCTTATGCTGGTATATACTGTGAGTTTGTCAGTTACGTCTGCCTCTGGCATGCCTCAGATAATATCTATCTTGCTTGAGGCTCTAAAGCAGAACAACAAGCTTCATGCCTGACCCATTTGGTCAATTGCCATCTAGGGAGCTGGTTCACTGAAACAACAATTTTCCCTTCATTCAAAACCCAACACTAATGACACAGTAAAAACACAACAAAGATTCCCAGAAAGTCAGGATTCATGCAATAGGTAGGTCACAAGTTAACACCACTTAATTTTGGCTAATGGACAATTGCAAGAAATGGATAAGAGCATCTTAGTAATATTGATCTTTTGGAACCAGTAAATATTTTGAAACTATGTACATCTGTGAAAAATTATTGGGAATGCTTTTAAATTACCAATTTCATTCAGGATTGTTTTTCATATTAAACCTGAGATATATATAGACTGTTGACCCTGCAGGATAGTCTCTGCTTCTGAATTCCATTATATTTGGACATACTGAAAAAAAAAATGAAAATAATGTGTGCATTCTCTGTAGATAAATAACGGGAAGGGGATTGCCATACACATCTCCGTGATATATGCAAATGTTGGGGTTTGGGTTATACGTTTTGCTAATTTTCCTTGACTATACTTGATAACTTTGTGCCTTGCTAGGAAAAAAAATCATTGTTCAATAATTATTTGAATGGTGACTGTATAAATGATGTGATCAGCTGATATCACATGGTGTATTAGAAATAAAGATACTTTAAAAACACTTTTAAGAACTCATTCCCCCCCCCCTAATTTTTTACATAAATGAGTGTAATGAACCTACTTGAATTTTGCAATCATTTATAAACTAAGTCTCCGAAAGTGATTGCTCTATCCATAAGAATAGCCATGATACAACACAATATTTTAATCACAGTTGCTCCAATTCAGTTAAGACCCTGATGCATAACTCAACACTGGCAGGAGTTGCATTTAATTTTTCATTAGGCTTTTCATTTGAAAATTTGTTTTTGTTTATTCAAGATGTTGGGGTGGATTTCTCAACACAAAGGATACAAAAATATTGGTTGTTGAAACTGGTCTCCCTTACCAGTTTCAAAATAACACTGCACAGCCCAGCAACAAAGCAGAAGAGGATGGCTCCAAATGGCAGACATTTGAAATCAGATTGCTAATCTCAATTATGTTTATCTTAAGCTGCTTCGGCTGTGCATGATTCCATGTCCATGAGGAATTGTTGGTATATCACAGAAAATACCACTTTTAAATTGGAGCAATGGGTGGAAGATGATCAGATGGAAATTCAACCTGGAAATAAAGTGAAATTTCCCAACGGTAAGAACAATTAATCAATGCAACAGCTTGCTTCCTGAAGCTGTGGGTGCTCCATTGCTGGAGGTTTTCAAGAGAAGATTGGACAATATCATGAGAATGGTTAAGTGGGATATTTGTCCTGCGGCCACAAGGCTACTCAGAAGGACTCAATAATAGGCAATGCTCAGGGAACAAAATGCAGAGAATCACATTTGAATGTACTGTGTATGTAAAGCCAGATTATCACATTTTAGAGCAGAAGTAGAGAATTATTTATAGGACAGAGGCTGCAATTCAATTTTGCCAACTGGGGAAAGGACCAAGGGAGACCTGACATTATCAATGATCTCATCATTGATCTTAAGGTTGGAAATTGACATTTAGATCTCACATACACCTTACACCAGTTCTGGTTTTTTAACAAATTACGCAAACAAAATTAGTCCTTTCACTAAGGACTAATTATTACCTCAGGGTGCTTCAGAGATTGTAAATTAAAAGCTGGAAAGTGCTTAGACTTAGAATAACTTTGTCACTTTGAATGTACACTAACCGGCATACATTAAAATGAAATTTCGTTGCATACAGCATCTGGCCTTCAAATTGCTCATCCATATTTCAGAGTAATTATATAAAGCAATTTACTTGCAATCAGGGTGGATTTGATTTAAATCAAGTTGATTTAAATCACAATTTAAATCATGATTTAAATCACTAGTAAAAAGACTTGATTTAAATCAATTTGATTTAAATCATAATTTTAAAGAGCAACTGTCATCTCTGCTACTCCTTTGACCCACTGTTGACTCACCGATAGTCCCAGTGTTGCAGAATATACAGCCTCATGTTACATAACTAAGCTCCATTTCATGCTGAATAAACTATTTATGTATCTTAAATAGAAACTATCTTACGATAGATTTTTACCCCAAAAGTTTTTTATTAAAATAAATTTGATAAAAATAAAAAAAAATCCGATTTAAATAAAAAAAATCTGATTTTTTTGATTTTTTTTTTTTAAATCATTGATTTTTATCCACCCTGCTTGCAATCAATAACTAAGTTACACATTTGGTCAAGCATTATTTAAAGTGGGAATGTCTACCAAGAGGTGCTATCTATTAAGCATTCATGTTTTCAGAGCAGTAGGTGTTAGAACCAATTTAGAGTCACTAGTTTTGTGAGATGAGCTATGCACATTTGAAAAAATAAATAAAATGTATTGTTTTAGGAAGATGTCAGGCATGTGGTCATTTGTCTTTAATATGTTGACAATCTACTAGAGAAAAATGGCAGGGGATAGATAGCATGGTGCTGCTATAATTTTATTGTTGTTAGTTGTGAAGTCATGTCTGACCCATTGCAACCCCATGGACGTTCCTCCAGGTCTTCCTGTCCTCTAGCATCCCCTGGAGTCCATTCAAGCTCACGCCTACTGCTTCAGTGACTCCATCTAGCTACCTCATTCTCTGTCGGCCCCTTTTACTTTTGCCCTCAATCTTTCCCAGCATTAGGTTCTTCTCCGGTGAGTCCTTCCTTCTCATTAGGTGGCCGAAGTATTTGAGTTTCATCTTCAGGATCTGGCCGTCTAAAGAGCAGTCAGGGTTTATCTCTTCTAGGACTGACTGGTTTGATCGTCTTGCAGTCCAAGAGACTCGCAGGAGTCTTCTCCAGCACCATAGTTCAAAGGCCTCAATTCTTTGGTGCTCAGCCTTCCTTATGGTCCAACTTTCATACCCATACATTGCAACTGGGAAAACCATAGCCTTGATTATACGCACTTTTGTTGGCAGGGTGATATCTCTGCTTTTCAGTACGCCGTCTAGATTTGCCATAGCTTTCCTCCCCAGGAGCTAGCATCTTTTAATTTCTTGACTGCAGTCTCCATCTGCAGTGATCTTGGAGCCCAGGAAAATAAAATCTTTCACTGCCTCCGTTTCTTCCCCATCTATTTGCCAGGATGCTGCTATAATACTTTTTGCTTAAATGCTGTGCCTGCAAATTCCCTTTAAGAGGGTGGGGAGGTTTTAAATCAGACCAAATATGTTTACTTGAATTTTATTTTATTTAAATAAATGTTTAAAACATTTAGTTGAACATTAGTTGGTCTTTGGATCATCCCACCCACACCAGACCTTAATCCAATTCAAGACACAGCCTTATCACAATGTGGTCATCATGTATCTGGAAAGATAGTAAATGATAATTCCCCTTCCAGTTCCAATAAAGCCAAATTTCTAGATGTAAATGACAGCAGGAAAGGAGGTATAGAGAAGGGAAAGTGAACATTGTACATAGAGAATTCAAAGTAAAATCCATAGGCAGCTCAGTTAAACTGCTTCTGCTTGCTTGCCTGAGATCTTGGGTTCGTGATCATAGTGTTTGGAGGTGGATCATCTACACATTCTCCTAGGCAACTTATAGAGGCCTTTATTGTTTCTCTTCTTACCCCGTCCCCTTTCAGGGTTTAAGTCATTGAAAAACAGTTGTTTTGCATTGACCGCTGTGTTGTTCAGTGAAGGACAATGAGCCATTGATAATGTCCATCCTTTAGCCAGCAAGTGAGAAATTATCTAGAACTGTGTTTCTCAACCTTAACTATCTTCATAAATGTATTTATCAAAAGTTCTCAAATACAATAAAAGTATGGATCCACGAACAACTCTAAGTCTCAAAATGGCACTTTAATCTTAGTTTGCACCCTTTTCCAGAGGGATTTTCTGCATAATAAAAACAATCTAGATTATTCAAAAAGAATTGTTATTGTAAATTGGCATTACATTAACAAAAGTAGTAAAAGAGAATGATACAAATACCCATTTATCATCAGATTTTAATAGATTATAGTTTATTAATGCGACACTGTAATGCACAAAGATCAAAGTGGGCACCAAATGGTTTATTAGTTCAACTAAAGGAAAAAGGTACTGTTAATAAATGAACAAGGTTATCGTAACCCAGTAACTGGAAACAAAGTGAAAAATTTAAAATAGCGCTATTATTTTATAGGAATCTAAAGAACCTCAGAAATAAATTGGAAAAGGTGCATTCGAGCACAAGAGTATTAATGTACCATCTGCTTATATATCTTTAAACCTGACACATCAATTCCTAGCGCTCCTCTGCAGCTGCGTCATGACGCAGAGAAATGGTATGGCTTCTTTAAAGAGATGCAAACAGTTAATGACACTCAAAGTGCCTTTTGGAATTTTAATCCAAAGCACTGCAATAATTTAACATCTTAAGCTATTTTACTGTAACAAGAGCAGGAATTCTTGAATTCCCATTAATTTTTTTTAAACACTTAATACTGGATTTATGTGCACAAATGAGAAAGAGGAAAGTGTAAGCTGTGAAATATGAGGATTTCAAGATTTTTTTTTAAAAAAAGAACTGATTGTAATAGATTAGAAAACAACATATTTTACTGAGAAGGTTAACAATATGGTTAAGCAATCAGTTTAAGCTACATTGATTTATATCACATTTTAAATGGGAAATTTAATTTATTATTAGCCAAATTCTTGTCAAATAGTCATTATTTTTTCATACTTGTCTAGGATGTAAAGGGGAAGAATCAGAAAAAAACAATTCATTTGCACATTTTATTCTCTCAGACATATCTACATATACAACACTTGTCATTACTTTTAAATATATTTCTGAAGCATTTTCTCCCAAAAATCAATATTTATAATACTGGGAATAAGTAAGAAGCAACTATCTTTAGTTCTGATACAAAGCAAGATAAACTGCACCTTCATTTCTCTCATAAAATTTGATACTATTCCTTGCTTAAAATTCAAGATGTGTGAACATTTCCTATATTAGTTTAGAAGTTCAACAAATGTACTGTTTCTTTTCACATCACTTCCAGATTAGGTGCAAAGGGTCATATGAGAGAATAATTACATATGTTTATATTTACTCCAGTATGTTAATATGGATGATGTTATAAACGTATTTTTACACTGGCTGTATCTGCAGAATAATGTCCTCGAACCAGTTTTTAAGAAATAAAAAAGTAATTTTTATAAAGAAATTTAATCATAAAGAAGTAGAATCCTGTAGCTGTTCCTTTCATGAGTTTTTCTTCCAAACTTCACATCCAAGTGGTAAAGCAGAACACCTTTCACCTTATTCTTTCACTTGTTATTTTTTTAAAAAAATAAGAGTCCAGTATTTTGGCCTGTATTTTTGTAAACCCTGCAGATAGGCATAACATGTGTAAAAACTAAGACACAAGGATAGGGATTTTTCACCTCATAGCAATGCAGCAGTTAAATGTGTAACCAGCAGAAGGCACTAAAGCTTTGATTCTGAAGTTCTTACTCTTAAAACAAGCCTGTTGGTTTCAGTCATTTAATCCAGTGTGAGAGATTCAAGGAAATTGTGGACTGTATTGAACTGAATCATACAAGGGTAAGATGGCAATAACTTTAACAAGTCGCGCTTTGGAAAACAGAATTGTTCCCCACGATCACAAAGGCATGAAAATGGCATCTGTTTATGTAGGTAACTCCCATAATTCACCCCCTCCAGTACATTTAGACATGCAACGTTACACAATATGGCAACACAAACAGGAAGTGATTGGTTTGGGACATCTTTACTGGGTATTGTGAAGTGCTGTTCATCCTTAGTGCACGTATGTCAGCTACCCTGCTACAATGGCAAAATACTGCTGCATCTTCAGAGGCCAACAGCAAAAGCCAAACAATTAACAAGTTTAATTCATCTGCAGCAACTGGCAAGTTATTGGCAGGACAAAGCTTTCACCCTTCTTCATTCTGAGGCAGCTCAGTATTTTATCCAACCTGCCACTAAAAGCAAAAACACAGAAATGAATATTAGCTACTTTTTACGGGTAAGGACATTATTCAATTTCTTACCTGTGAGCATAACCTTGTTTTATTCCAACCCCCATCTCACTTTTTCAGGCTACTTTTAGGTTATGAAAAATCTTCCTTAAATATAGTATTTTGAGAAAAAAAAAACAAGTAATAATGATACTTGTTTTCTAATGCATTTGGGTTTTATTGTATTCCAAACAATTCTGGACCATGAGTAAAGGAAACAAATGCATTTCAAGGTACAAGTAAAAGTTGCTGTGCAAGAGAAGTAAAGATTTATTCAGCAATTACAATAATCACATTTAAACTAAAGTCTGTGCAAATCTAACACACTTCTATCCTGACATTAGTCTAGCTATTTCAGCTTTAAATCCAAAAAAGATGGGAGCACTTCAGAACTGCCCCTCCATTGCCCCACAGGCTCATATTCAATGCTGATGAAAATTCTCACTCATCAGGTTGTCTGGAAGCTGAACCATGGCAAATGGACTTCTCTTCTTTTTTGGTTTGAAATGTCTGATAGTCTGAAGAAGCGACTTGGATAAGCATCAAAATGTTTGAAACCAAAAAAAGGAAAGGAGTTGCCATGACTCAACTTCCAGACATCTCTATCTCGAGACTCTATCTCAAATCTATACACAAGAAGAAAGTAATGATCTTGACAAGATAATTGATCAAACCATCGTATGCTGTGAACATGAGACCAAATGTGTGAACCAAATGATTGTAGAAAAGTGGGATGTAATGTAATGTCCCCTGTTGTTGTTTTTCCAAAGGCTCACGTGCCCACAAAGATGCAGCACTGTCTTTGTGGGCACGTGAGCCGTTGCCCCAGCTCACCTCAGCTCTGCCGCGCATGTGCACGCCTCCTGCCAACCAGCTGGTATTCAGGTCTCTGCTGCGCATGTGTGGGGCGTGTGCGCATGTGCGGTAGGCAGACACATGCATGCGTAGGGGCAGGATGCATGAGGGGGTGCGTGCACATGCACAGGGCCCATGTGCAGGGGCCGCGCATTGCATTTGGGGGGTTTGGGCGCACACACACATTCTTACGCACACGCTTTTGCACTTTGGGCACTCGGTCCGAAAAAGGTTGGCCATCACTAGTCTAAGTGATGGCAATTGTCTGGCCAAAATGCTAGTCATTTATCCTAAAGTTTCAATACACAAAGAGACACTCAAAAGAGACATAAGAGTGACTGATATCAATCCAGGTACATCGATATGTTTTATGAGATACTAAGAAAAAAAATCAGAAGAAAGAGCCTTCACACCCTATCTATTAGAATAGCAATATAAGAAATAGGCGGGAAGATCCTGGCCTTTGATGTTATCCATCCAAATTTGATTCTTCACTTCTTACCCTTAGATTGCCTTTTTCTGGTTCATGGCTTCCAGATTCAAGACGTTTTTCCATTTCTTCTTGTTTTCGTTTTTTCTGTTCCACAGAAGAGATATTCTTAATACCACGAGATGCAGCCTTTGGAAAAACAACATTACATTACATCCCACTTTTCTACAATCATAGCAAAATAAATTTAGTTCTCTAATCTGTATTCCATATAGAATCTCCAATAAATCTGTATTAAATTTACATAACCTTACTTAGGGATGCAGTGGCTCAGTGGCTAAGATGCTGAGCTTGTTGATCAAAAGTTCAGCAGTTCAGCGGTTCAAATCCCTAGTGCCGCGTAATGGAGTGAGCTCCCATTACTTGTCCCAGCTTCTGCCAACTTAGCAGTTCGAAAGCACGTAAAAAAATGCAAATAAAAAAATAGGGACTACCTTTCGTGGGAAGGTAATAGCGTTCCGTGCGCCTTTGGCATTTAGTCATGCCAGCCACATGACCACGGAGGCATCTTCAGACAGCGCTGGCTCTTCAGCTTTGAAATGGAGATGAGCACCGCCCCCTAGAGTCAGGAACAACTAGCACATATGTGCGAGGGGAACCTTTACCTTTACCTTTACTTAGAAGAGTGATAACATATGACTGTAAAAGCATGGGCTTGAACAAAAAAAAAAAAAAAATCCTACAGGAAAACATTTTTGGAAGCATTTGGACAAGTTTTATTCTCCCTCCAGAAATGAGGAGTCAGGAAGCATATTTTGAAGCCTCTTTGAGAAGCAAATCTCAGTAGAGTTTTTCTTCCCCAATAGATGGCTATTTTTATTATTATTATTTATTAAATGTATGCGTCATCCATTTCACTGATAAGGAGATTCTTATCAAATATGGGTGAGAAAATATGCTATGCTCTTCCTTTGATAAATAGGATTATTGCTACTTATCATCAGTCCATCAGTCACAACTGTCTTATGCGTGCTATTCCTGTTCACGTTTTTCTCTAATGCAGATGTTAAAAAGAAGCAACTGACTGGAATTTGCACCTGCTAAAAAGCAAAGGCAAAACTTCTCATTCCATTGAAGAATTGGAAAAAAACAACACCCACTGCACTTCCATGTTAAAAAAGAAAAACTTAAATAACTGCAGTTATTTATTTCTATAGAATTGAACCTACCTATTCAAGCCTAGCATAGAACAGAAGAGAATGAAACAGGGATAAACATTTTCTTATTTAAAAAGAAGAGGTCTAGGACTTGTAAGCGTGGAGAGGATATCTACATTTTCTTTGTCCTACCTAAATCTACAATGTCTGCAAAAGACCAGCTAGTTTTCCCTCTTACTTTGGGGGATAATCCCCATTTCCCACTCATTTTTTAAGTTAACTACAGACTCAGCCGTGGTAGTTTTTGTGGAAAAAACTACCCTAAAATACCTTAAATTCACATGAAACACCATGCAGAAATTAAGATTTTTAAATTAAGATATATTTTTTTTCAGAATGTGTCAGGAAATACTTCAAAAAACTATCTTAACTTGTATTTATTTTCTCCCCCTTGCTTTTCCTGATCTTGTGCCAAAACTAAACATGTGATTTTAAAAATTCCATTGTGATAATTGTGATTAATTGTGATTTTGGTATTATTTTACAGGTTCTCTCCTTTGCTGCAAAGAGGATTTTTGTAATAGTGGTGGTGGCAGGGAGGGATTTGCGCCAGAAAAATATATAGCAGTGTTGAGAGCATCAAATGGGAGGTCTCCCACCATAAAGAAATGGATTGGTTCAAGCAAAGAGTCATTTATAAGTATTATCTTTTTGCTCAACATTCAAATACTAGGGCAAAGTTTGGCCAGTGTGTTTGAAAGAACACGTCTGTCACGAATCCTGAACTTTGGTATTTTTGCTTAATTTAAGTCAGTGATGACTGCACATTTAATCTTGAGATTCTCAGCCCAACTCCTCTCCATATGCATTGAAATAATAAATTTGAGCTACTTCTGTTACCTCTTCTTGTGTTTCTTCAAGGACATCATTGATATTTGGATTGTTTTAGACGTAAGAGCCTGTTAATCTGCAGGTCTTGCTCTATAAATTACTGTGAACAGCTCCCCTAACATTGCAAACATTATCTTGTTGCTTCTTACTACACATACCCACGATCTTACTACTTATAAGCACTGGGATGCAGTGGCTCAGTGGCTAAGACGTTGAGCTTGTCAATCAGAAGGTCGTCAGTTCAGCGGTTCGAAGCCCTAGCGCCGCATAATGGAGTGAGCTCCCGTTATTTGTCCGAGCTTCTGCCAACCTAGCAGTTCGAAAGCACGTAAAAAATGCAAGTAGAAAAATAGGGACCACCTTTGGTGGGAAGGTAACAGCGTTCCATGCACCTTTGGCATTTAGTCATGCCAGCCACATGACCACGGAGACGTCTTCGGACAGCGCTGGCTCTTCAGCTTTGAAACGGAAAGCACCGCCCCTAGAGCAGAAACGACTAGCACGCATGTGCGGGGAAACCTTTACCCTTACCTTACTTATTTTTTGGAAAGTTAGTTGTAGTGCTGAGTTTCAGTATAACTTAGGGCAAACCCCATTGCCAATAGTATAATAATGGCCAGTTTGCATTCTTAAGAGATGTTCTATTGTTCACATTCATTATACGAGAAGGTTTTCTTTTAATCTATTGCTGTTCCAAATATCCAATTACCTCCATTTGTCTTTTTTCTGCTGCTTCTGCAAGTTGCTGCCTTCTAATTTCCTAAAGAAAACATATAAAAATGATTACAAAGGTATTTCACATCACCTATGCAGAGATAAAAGACGGGGTTTTCTAAGGGTTTTCCAAATATATTAGAACTTTTCAAAATCCTAGAAATGAGCATTCATTTTTTAAAATGCCAATTCTGCCCACATTATTTAATGTTTAATGTTAAAGAGAATTGCCAGAGAGAAATCTTTAGTCACCATAAGTAGCCATATACTTCCACCGCTGGGGGTTTTCTCATCCACATAAAACCAAGCAGAAACATTTCACAGGTCATTAAACTACACATATGAAAGACTAAACGGTGCTTCCAGCTGAATAAGTGAAAAACCCTTTTTGTTAGCTACTTTTATCTTGAGTTTGTTATTTCTGTTTTGGGACAATCAAAATTCCAGCCAATAGTCAGAAGTCAAATAAATCAGCTTGTCTCATCTTCAATTTAAGTATGTATCAGTGGGAATTAAATCTGCATAGAAAAAAGCAGATTTTCTGATATTTACTTATTTATTTATTTATTGAATTTACATGATGCTGATCTCACTGTTACAATGATTTTGGGTGGCTTCCAATATGGATCCTTCCTGTAAGAATATTTTATCAGCTCCATTACAATCTTTTTTTTTATTTTTAAAAACTTTTTTATTAATCATTCAAAATTAAAAACATCGGACATAGATATGACATCACTGGTTCTAAATATCTTCCAACACTTTAAACTAATACAAATGATGTTAAAGTTAATAATTATAATTCTTTAACCTTATACGTTATGTATACATAACATCATACTAACAATCTATATTGTATTTCTACACAATTATACGTCTATTAATCTATACTTGTACCTATTTATGTAATTTACATACATATTTATCTGTCATAATGTATATATTTCTCATCCAACACTACACCCTTGTCTCGGCTATCCTCCTTTTGTCTAGCCATTCGTAAAAATTTTTCCAGATTATATAGTACTGTGTTTCACATTTATCCTTGAGCTCCTAGGTAAGTCTGTCCATTTCTGAGCAGTTATTTTTAGTAATATTTCCTCTTCAGTTGGAGTATCTTTCTGTTTCCACTTTTGAGCAAAGGCTATCCGTGCCGAGCTCCCTTACAATCTTAATGTGGTAATAGAATATAGGGTTGAATTTCAGGGACTTTCCTTGCTAACTTTTGTGTATTGTAGAGTAAGAAGAATAGTGTGGAAGGAGATTATAAGTGTGTTTGGTTGAAGAAACTTTCACTTTATCATGGGAAAAAATGTTTTTGGATCCCTTAGAGATATTCCCAGAATGCCTCTGATCCCAAATAGCTCCCATAAACTTTCTTAGAAAATTCAAATGATGAGTGGCTGCAACTCCATATTGTCGAACTGTGCCTGCTTGCCACAACAAAGAGGAGGGTTAATGCACAGCACTTTGTAGCAAGGGCAGATAAAAGAGAATCACGAATTGCTTTCTAGCCAATTAAAGCTTAGATCAGTGAATATATTTATTTATTTATAATTTCAGCTTCTACAGCTGATCTCTTATATACAACTCTGGGTGGCATTCAACAATTAAAAACAATAATATAAAAAAATATAGAGAGGTGGCTACATCAGAGTGGGTAGGGTAGAAGCCAAACAATTATCAACAAACAACTGAATAGCAGCTCACATACTGTCCTGGCCCACCATTATGGAAAAAGCTGAGTCTTTTGGGATAAATGCTATTTTAGCGGCAGAGGCAGCAAAAAAAAAAAAAAAAGATGTGATCTGAAGCATACTAACTCAGTTGTAATTTTTCAGATGGGCAGAGGTAACCTGAGGCAGAAAAATCTTGCAAATATTCAGAAAAATATTGCAAATAATATGCTATGAAGGGCTTTAAATTGGTTGGGACCAATGGCAGTTCTTTTCTGAATAGGATGAAATAGCCCTTCATACCATTTTGTGAGGCAGCCCCACAGCATGTTCTCCAACACATGTGACTCCCAACCCCTAAACTTTTGGATCTTGTGCATTAAAGGAAAATGAGTTACTCAACTCTTCTGAAATAAGGAAGTTATTGTGTGAGGACCTTTCAGTAAGGTGGAAGTAAACCACACCGTTGCATTAACTCTTCTTGAACTCACATGACTATCTGGCATCTCCTCAGTTTTTCAAACAATGCTATGCACACCAACTTTGGAATAAAATCCAATCATAGAAAACAAAGGACTTGCTTTTGCTTGCAGCTAAGATTTTATTAACTCTCCATCAGTCAGCTGCACAGCAGAGTATTCTCATGCCACCCCAAACATAGTGACATTCCTACCCAGATCACTTCCTTTATAAAAAGGTCTGAAGCTATGTGTGCAACCAAGTAAATATTTGACATTCCCCGGAATAAATCAAATGTTTTGAAAACAAACAGGCTTTTTTTCCAGCAGGGCTTATGCATCCTACGTTTTATTCTCCCTTTGGTGTTTTTGAAAGATGGCACTGTCATTGTTATTTTGTGTGTGTGTGTGTGTGTGTGCTTATGTAGCATAGTTCACTGGCACTGCAATTTTGGACCTTTGGGTACACACTGATCCGGCTCATCCAGTGCACAAAGGCAAGATAAGTAAATAATAAAACAGACACACCCTCACCTGTGACAAGAACAATTGATCCTGAACTAAACAGCTTCAATTTGGACCACAAAGCATATAGTGTTTTTTTTTTGTTTTTTTTTAATATTACAAGGCGGAACCTGGGAGTAAGTAAACTCAACGGGGCTTGATTTTGGAGAAACCCTGCAATAGACCGGACTTTGCTCGTACTTCAAAGCTGATTAGATTAATCGTAATCTAACGATTAATAAGCAAAGAGGGGGGAAGAAAAGAAACTCGGCGAAGATTTAAAGGCATTTTAGATATGCTCCATGAAGGAGGGTTTAAAGCAAAAAATCAATCTGGAATTTTTCGGAAGCGACACCTGGGATCGCCCAGCGAAGCCAAAAGGGAGGAGGAGAAACCCCCAGCCACCTACGGAACGAGTTTCGGTAGCCCGATCTCGCCCCCCCACTTACTGGATCCGGCGTCTCCACCACTTGGTCGGCGGCTCCCCCCAGGCAGGGCAAGCACAACCCCATCCCGACCCGCCTGCAACACTTCGCCGGGCAGAGCCAAGCGGCGAGTCCGAATCGAGCCCCGCCCCGCCGTCCTTTGACCAGCGGGCCTCCGCCCAAGCTACCCGCCGCCAGGCTGCCTTCCTGCGCGAACCACCGACGGCGCCACCTGCCGCTCCGGAGCCGGAGGGAAAGCGGGTGGGGAGCGGGAGGAAACCGCTGGCACGACCGCGGGAGAGAGAGCAGAGTCCCGTCTGCGTGGGATTCGGCGAGCAGGAGAGAAGGAGGGAAAGCAACACTAGCAGAAGTTTCAAAGAACTTCTGCCGCCTCAGAGCGTTAGCAGTCAAGCCTGCGGTTGTCCGGGCGTCTCCGTTGGTTATTTCTCAGGCTACAGCAAATGCATCTCTTGTAGGCAAGGCGGCAGGCCGGGGCTGCGAGGTTCTCCGGCCGCTGGGTGCAAGGAAGATTGCAACCGTTACCCAGAAGTAAACCTAACTGAACCCAATAGAGCTTTTTTCCCCTTCTGATTGGGTTGGGTCGTTAAGCTGGTGTGGGTTTCCTCGGGGTCCTATGCTGCCCTCATTGCCTGATTGATTTAATATGGGATCCCTTAAGGTTTATTCGTGGAGTCCCCATACCATTTCCCAGGAAGGACAGTCACCGAAGGGAAGGTGGCAAATTCTGGCAGATTGATTGATTGATTGATTGATTTAAATATGTACGAGATAACAGGTATAAGTATAAGTATAAACATTGATATTAATTAATGGGTACCAATCAGAGGTGAAATCCAGCAGGTTCTGACAGGTTCTGGAGAACTGGTAGCGGAAATTTTGAGCAGTTCAGAGAACCGGCAAATACCACCTCTGGCTGGCCCCAGAGTGGGGTGGGAATGGAGATTTTGCAATATCCTTCCCTCAGGAGTGGGTAGGGAATGGGGATTTTGCAATATTCTTCCCCTGAAATGGGGTGGGAATGGAGATTTTGCAATGTCCTTCCCCCAGGAGTGGGTAGGGAATGGGGATTTTGCAATATTTTCCCCCTGAAATGGGGTGGGAATGGAGATTTTGTAATATCCTTCCCTCAGGAGTGGGTAGGGAATGGGGATTTTGCAGTATCTTTCCCCTGGAGTGGGGTGGGAATGGAGATTTTGCAGTATTCTTCCCCTGCCATGCCCACCAAGCCACCCTACGCCCGCCAAGCCACGCCCACAGAACTGGTAGTAAAAAAAATTGGATTTCACCACTGGTACGAATAAATGGAGTTTGATCCGGGAAGACCAATATTCCCTGTGTGTCTTGGCTCCTTTATCAAGGAGAGCTCTTTCCAATCAGTGTCTTGATTTTCAAGGTACTGATAAGATTAACATAAGATAAGATTGTAACTTTATTGTTGTTGTTGTTTTACTGCGAGCACACTGGCCCACATTAAAAATGAAATTCTGTTGCCTGGTCTCAAGAAAAAGTGTATATCTACCCAAACATATACCATAACATGAGGGCGGCCTTGTGGCTCCTGCTGGAAGAACAGGTGGTGGGGCTGTGATCAGGGGGATCTTTGCACTAATTCAATTTGTGTTTCAATGGCACCCAGTCATGCTCAACAGTCACTCATGCCTTAGTCATCTCTGGATTGGATGGCTTCAATGTGCGCTACAATGCAACTTCCAAAATGTAGTAATATGTACAATTTTGGGTGATTCACAGTTTGCCCATGTTACACTATGGATTTCATGAGTGATGCTGTCCCCCATTTGCTTCCGGGTACAATCAAGGTGCTTGTTATTATCTATAATACCCTATATGGCACAAGACTAGGCTATTTGTGGAACCAACTCTTCCTGAGGATATCTCTCTGTTCTGCTGGGTCAGACAGAGCACGCTCTGTCTGACCCAGACTGTCTTCCCTTCATTTTGTAATGTGGGATCTCGGAAATGTGCTTTTTCTGTAGTTAATCCAGCCGGTTGGAATATCCTCACACCTAAAATTTGAGGGTGGGGAAAGGGGTCCTACCCTTTCAGCCTTCCAGAAGTCAGTGAAGACTTGATCCTTTTCCCACCATTGGACTAAAATGGAGTTGAATCAGGGAGTCAACGGTTGGTTATTTGGTGCCTGGTGGGAAGAGTATAGACTGGGTATAGTCTCTTTTTATTGGTTGCTATAAATTGCTTGATCACTCTATGAGATTACCATATAAATTATATTAATAAACAAATAAATGCAGGGTGGGAAGGAGTTTCTACAAAGAGACTTAGATTGAAAGTTTGGTCCTTGCTCAGAACAGGCAAGCTTTTAAAAGTGGGAAGGCTTTATAATTAAAATTGTTCTTTTTGCAAAGATTTGTATGGAGATTTCCCTTTATTTGTTTTATTAAATGTGTAGCTGGCTTTTCTGTGTACAGAAACACCCAAGACAGCTTAGAATTATTTTTTTAAAAAAAATTGTCATAAAAACTATTACAATTTAAGTCAGAAAATTGACACAAGAAATGTGGTTTGTGAAAAAAAAAAAAAACACCCTACCAGGGGAGTAAGAGAGCATAAGAGTCATAGACCAGCATAGACCATTCCTTGCCACTTATTGAAAGACAGAATGCGCAAGCTTTTAGACTACTCTTATCATTTAAGCAAATTACATCTTCCTGGTAAAAAGGCTCACAAATACTTCTTGCTAGTTTGAAATTGACATCGTATGAATGGACAATAGCTTAAGGTCTTTCAGTTGCTAGTAGAATGTAGTAGTAATAGCAGTTGGATTTTAAGGTTTCTTTCATCCTTAATTATTACTTGTATTGATATAGAAATAATAATGTGCTAATGTGATGTGCAGATAAATGAAAAACTATCGAAAAGTGATCCATATCTAAAAAAGTGATCTGAAAGGGATTAGTATGTCCTGTTGAGTTAATGGCACAGGAATGCCACCTGTCTCCAAGAATTCGGCTTGATAAACAATATATCTTCCTGTTTTTTATTTAAGATACTAACAATTACTTGAATAGGAAAATGGCTGAGCGCCTTAATGCTTTATTCAATTACCTTCATGATGAGTATAAAAAGATTGCTTTCCCCTTGACGTGCTTTTAAATTTTAATTTGAGTGGTTTTAGAGCAAACTGGAAGTGAGAGAATGCCTCCGTAGAAATAGTAGGCAATCAGTGCTGACAGGTTAAGAACTGATATATGCCCTTAATATCCACTTCAGGGTGAGAATATTTCAATTTAGTTTCAAAGTGATCTTTAATAAATCATGTAGTACTTTGTCAAGTCAAACCTATTTTGAAAGCTAAAGTTTAGGGAACTGAAAAATATTGCAGCAGATGTGACACAAAACCTGAAGTGTTAATAGAAGGATAGTAATGAAGCAAACAGAATGTTCAAATTATTATCCATTTCATCATGATAACTCCAATGCCCATGCCTGGAATCCCTATGCAAATATTGCATTTGCAATTAAGTGCACAATATAGCAACTTTATACATTTTTCTCGTATAATAGAGGTAGTCCTTGACTTATGACCACAATTGAGCCCAACATTCAGTTCACGAACTGCTCTGTAAAAGGAAACCAAAGTCATCTTCTAGTTTGACCATTTCAGTTGTGAACTAGATGCCTTTTCATATGATCAGATCATTCCCAAAGCTCTGTTGAAAAGGAGATCTGTGAACTCTACATTTGTTGTTGTTAGTTGCAAAGTCCTGTCGGACCCATCGCGACCCATGGACAACGTTCCTCCAGGCCTTCCTGTCCTCTACCATCCTCTGGAGTCCATTTAAGCTCACGCCTACAGCTTCAGTGACTCCATCCAGCCACCTCATTCTCTGTCATCCCCTTCTTCTTTTGCTCTCAATCTTTCCCAGCATTAGGCTCTTCTTCAGCGAGTCCTTTCTTCTCATTAGGTTCATTAGAGTTCATAAGAATTCTACATAGGCCTTAGTAAACTTACATTTTTTTAATCAGTAGGGCATCTAGTCAGTTTTGTTTTCTTTCTCTCTACAGGGAAAACTAACTTTAAAGCCCAATGTGTTTAATTAAATTCATTGTTGTTTATTAACTCTTCAGTTCAAATATACCACCCCTTAGTATTTATTCACCTTAACTGTAGTTAAGATTACAAATATATTATAAACCAAGTATGCTGATTCATGGAAAACAAGCTTTTGCAGCTTGTTTTCGGTTTGAAAGTTTGGAAAGATTGGGAAACATCTTTCCTTTAAAACTTAATTTAAATACAGTACATCCAGCTTTTTGTTATTATTATTATTATTAAGGCCCATTCTCATGACATAGTTGTGCTATTTCAGAATAGCTGTGGTTTTCTGATTCCTTTCTGAGCCAAATAAAACCAGACTTTAATATGATTTCCATATATTGGTTTATCACACCCACTGTGATTATTTAATGATGGGTTATGGATTAATGTGTTGTATAATTGTAGCTTCTTGGCATTTCTCATTATTATTATTATTTGCTATTCTTTACTCTTTCCCTTTTTCCTTCTACTCTGAGCAATTATTCATCTTCAGCTGTCTCCCCCATTGAATTACTGTCTTCCAAAATTTGTGCATAATGATTAATTTACTCACAATCTCTTCCTTCCTCCTTTCTCTTGGCTTTTCAACCTCAGCTTATCTACCAATTCTAAATCTTCATTCTTTACCTGTGATGAACTTGGTTTCATTACTTGGTTGTAAGATGCCTAGAGTTGTCTAAGCAAAATGGGCAGCCTATGAAATAAACAAATTCATACCTACGTACGTACGTAGATACATACATACGAATATAGTGAGTACCGTATTTTTCAGAGTATAAAATGCTCCAGACTATAAGACACACCTACCTTTTTTGGTGAGGAAAACAAGAAAAAGAAATCTGCCTCTGCCTCCCAGCAATTTTGCCTTGGTACAGCAAACAGCAAATAGCCTGATTTACTTTCATTTTCGTTTTCAGCATAGCTTGATTAGCACAAGAAGAAAAAAAAATCTGTTCAATTTACCTGCTTGCAGCAAGCAGCAGAGGCCCACACAAAACAGATTTAACAGATAATCAACTTGTGCTAATTAGGCTGTGCTGAAGCTGAAACAAGCTGTTTCTTCTTGCTGCTTGCTGCAAGGAGGT